GTTTTTGTTTTTGGGCTGTCGCTACCACCTTGTATAAATTCGCCTTGATTTCTTGATTACCTTGTTTATATGTGGAAAATGCGAGGTATTCCAAAATATCGGCCCGCGTAAAGGTTTGAGTTTGATTCTGAGGTTCCTCTTGGAGTCGAGTCATTGCCTCACTCATCCAGAGTACGGTGTGATAGTAGTCATGATTGACGTACGATTGGCGTCCCAACTCAAAGCAGTCATCTGAAGACATTGCCGTGCTGGAAAACAGAAAAATAAATGTGATGTAACTAGAGTCTCCTAACGTAAACAAAGGGATTTTCATTGTCTGGGGAAATTAGAAGAACTTGTGTAGAATAAATATTATCAATTGCAAGGAACTTCAATGGGAATCATTCAGATCTATTGCGCAAATCACAAATAAGCAGATGAAACTTTGCGATCACCGATTACTTCGAAATTTTCTGCTTCAACTTCCTACTTACACATGTCTCTTTCATGATAATTATCGTTACCTGTATTGTATGCCATTAAGCATGCCACGCGCCACACTCGATGTGTCCAGTTTGTAGGTGTCCTGCAGCCGCATCAACGCTACTGCAGCTCCATTCAAATCTTCATCGGATGGAAATTTCAGTATGTGACGGTAATTCGTGATGTTATTCAGAAACTCTAGAACAGGAAAACGGGGTTACGAAAAACGAAAAGAGATTATATAATCAAAGCATGAGTGTACATATTTATGTGTGTATTAGATAAAACCTACCGACGCCTACATCGTGCGCCATTAAATTCTCCACTTGTCGCCAGTCGGTGGTCAGTCGTTTTGTCAGCAGGTAAGCGTTTATTGGATTTGAGACGTAGGCGGACATATCCGCGGCTGCGTCCTCGTGTTCTCTTTGGTATTCACCCAGCTTACTGCAAAGAAAGAAAGAAATACATATGTATCTATATTCATATATGTAAACACGGAGAAGACACATGCATAACAACAAATAGCATATGCACATATATCAAAAATTTAGACTTAGGATATCTGCACACTTGTCGTCCAATCATAGTTGCGTTATCGTCTCGCTCTGAAATTTTGAGCCGAGCACATGCATTTCAAAGGAGATCTGCACACTTGTCGTTATCGGCTAGTTATCGGCAAATCGTAGAAGATGCAGAAACGGATAAGTACGGCACTGTCGTTTGCTAATCGTTGTGCACGCATTGTTTGTTTACATTTTATGGGGGAAAATTAGTGAAAAAGTTAATATTTGCATTAAAATTGTATAAAAATTAGTATTTTTTTGCATAAAATCTGTGGAAATTATTAAAAAGTGGATAATTGCATTAAAATTTAATAAATATGAGCGTTTTAACTATAAAATATGACGAAATTGTATTAAGTCTCTGTGTGCATACACAAAACACATTCCAGGAAAAGAAAAGAAGAGATATTACTGGAAAATTACGTCTAGAAATGTTGCAGCACAGTCTATATTTAAAAAATTGCAGGTTTTTGTAAATATTTCGCGAAAATATCAACCAAAAAAAACAGAAAATACCAGCTCCAAGTGAATTTTTAGACGCCAAATGAATTGAAATATCACGACCAAGTGTGCAGAAGTGTAATCGTCATGTAATCGTTGCTTCATGACGATAACTATGACTCAAATATGATTGGACGACCAATGAGCAGAAAGCCTTAGCGTCATAAACAGATGCAATTTGAAATTGAAAAAAAAAAAATTTGCGAAAATTTGAATATGATATTTATGCAATCAGCCAAACTTACAAGGCTGCAAGAAAATAAGAATGTAGTAGAATAAGGCCTAGCTAGGTATTGCAAAAAAATAACATAAAATAATCGATTATTAATCACAAGCCAAAAAAATCAATTGCAATTAATTGCAGTTATTGAGAAATAATCGATCAATCGAATTCTTAAGGGCACTGTTCTACAGTGAGTATTCACAAAAAAAAAATGAGTATCCATAAAAAATTCGAATTCTTGTTAATTAGCCTTAAATAAAATAAAGCAAAAACAAAATTATTCATCAGCGTTTCGTTGTCAAGCGGTTTCGTTGCTCCGTGGCTGTAGCTCCAGCTTTTGAAATGACAGTATTTTTTCGAAAGTCTGTAAAGTTTTAGGTGAACAATTTTCATTTCCTCCCAAGCGTCGATGATATTCGGCTTTAGTTCTTGGATTTGACAATTTAAATAAAAACTCATTTCTTCTTGTGGGCGACCCATGGGTGATCATGATCTTTTCGCCTTCGTTTGTGTAGAAGAGATTTATGAGGGGCCCAAAGATCGAGCTCATTCCCATTCTACTGATTGTAGTGATAACTCCGCACATTATTGCATTTCGCAAGAGCTTCATTACTGAGGCCAATGCAAACGGATCTTTGAAATGAGTTTTTTTGAACCTCGGGTCGAGTAAAGTTGATACAGCTAGCAAAAAAGAATGTTCGATGGATGGATTTTAGATAACTAGAGAATTCATATTTCTTGAAAATATTTTTACGATTATTTTACAATTCATAGATTAATTATCGATTAATTTAATCAAATGATTGATTAATCGCTGCCATCCCTAGGCCTAGCTAACAAGGAAAGTACGTATTTATGTACATACATCACAAGGGGCGTGATTCCCTTCTTCTCTGGTACTTGTAGCTAATGAATTGCTTAAGAAATTTGAAAGATAGACTGCAAAAGTAGTTTCGTACGCAGAAGACATGGCGGTGTTGGGGACAGAGAATTAAGCTGGATACTATTAGCAACGTGATTAATAATTCTGTAAAGGTGATACAACACAGGACTATTCAATCGAGCTTTGCGGTAAATGAGCATAAAACCGACCCATGTGCATTGCAGAAGGAAATATGTATGTATGCATAAGGCCCATGCATGGAATCTCCCGAAATTTTTTAGCCCAGAACTGACTAAAAAGATGCACGGAATAGTGATCTTATACAGTAAAATGCAAAGACGCTTTAGAGTACTAAGTTTAGATCCATGAAAATAGTTCTAGCTATTACTATGGAAATCTCATTGCTAGCTCTGATGCATAAGCACAAGGGGAAAAAACATATGGCGTTCATATTTTGGCTACGTGGTTGGTCGAGCGGCCCTCCAGTTTGTGGTGTGCGTCGTGATAAATTTCGTAACACAAGTGGAAAGGGCTTCACTTTTACGTCGTTACCGAGCGCCCGATGGTTTTCGGAAAACCGTGGACGACCTGTGTTAGAAAGTTGTTTTTCTAATTTTAGTTGATGCTTGAACAAGGGATCGATTATAGGTCCTGCAGGGTAGTAGTATGCATCTAACCACAAGGCTTCAGTGGCCAATATAACTCCGGAGGGGCTCTGGCGGGGTAGACCGCATCGATGAAACCGCTATTTCTTAAGCTTACTTAGATATAAATATGATACGTACTACATGGTTTAGCGTCTTAATTTAGAGAGAGGATCCTAGACTAAAGCCGAAACTGAGTGCATGGTGATTTTTTCAAATATATAACAGCTTAATACAAATTTTAGAAAAATGCAACATATTTCCATAGAAACTTCGAACTTTTTAATCTAAATTCTAGGATATGCAGTTACATGCCTAACGAAATTTTAGTAAAATGAGTGCAAGTTTTAAACAGCGGTATTTTATATAAGAAGTTTAATTTATAAAAACTGCCGTTAATTTTTTTTAATTTATGTACATCAAAAAGGTGTTCTTCTGACCTAAGTCCAGAGAGTGGGGGTTGAAATGGAATTTCGAGTACACAAAATGGATCCAAAATTTCCGTCTTAAGGCTTTTCACGTAACGAAATTTTTATGTCGACTTTGTCTGTTGGCCGACACTATATGGGTTAAAATCACAAAAGTTTTTAAAAACTCTGCCAATTTGTCCTTATTCTGTGCATACAAGTTAATAAATTGCAGAGAAATCCGAAAAATATAACAACCGAATTGAAACCAAAGCTCTGGAAATTATTCGAGACTAAAATTCATTTGACTTCAAAAACCTTTATTCGCATTGTATTATATTGACAAACAATAAAAGTATCTTACATATGTACATTTGTATATTTAAATGCAGCGGAACCCATAACTTTATTACTAACTTCAAGTCTTTTAAGATTGAACAAAAGCTGCGATAAGTATATCTTATGAATAGCTAAATTGTGCACTTATACATAAGCTATCAAATAGTTTTCAACAGGAATGTGAACCGGATGAAAATTTGCTTCGAGCCGATTACTTCCTTTGAATTGGTTCGTTAAAAAGATTTTTTTTTTTTTGGTTTTTGAACCGGGGTTTCGGTTCGGTTTAACAATTCGGGAATTACAAAAAAAAGATGTATATTTGTGTTAATTCATTCAGTAAAAATCCAAAAAGAAATACATACAGTGGTCGAAGAAATTGTAGCCGCACCACATTTTGACAAGTTTTAACATATAACTTTTTTTGTTATTTAGTTTGGTTATTTTTTTATAAAAATGTAGTTCATTCTGAAAACAAAGCGGTGTAGCTGCAAGTTTCAAATTATGTGCAATATTAAAAAAAAAAAATCAAGAAACTTTCGTAAAAAAATCGAGCCTATTAATTAGATTTCATAGAAAGATTTTATATGCAGTTTTGCGGCCGATTGAATTCTAATAGTAGTAGTATAAAGGACAAGTTTCAAATTACCTAAAATTAGCGTTGATTTTTTAGATTTTTTTTTAGAAATCTAATTAAAAAGCTCGCAATTTTTACGAAAGTTTGCTTAATTTTTTTATTTACACGCTTTTTGCTAAAGAATTAACTATATTTTTATATACAAACAAAAAATAAAAAATTATATAACAAAAAAAAATTATGTGTTAAAACTTTTCAAAATGTGGTGAGGTTATAATTTTTTCGACCATTGTATATATGTATAAGATCGGACAGAATTTGTATCATCCGTTATACATGGAAAAAAGTCAGATGGTAAATAAATATGGTGTTACCACATTTAAAGGAAAATAAATAAGAAAGTGGAGGGTAAATTGTCCGAAACGGACATTAATTCTTTCTAAAAAATGGTTAGATTTTCGGTTTGGATTAAGCATTTGTGAAAAATTCCGGTTCGTTTAAGGGTTCAGTTAATTATTACAAAAAAAAACGGTAATCCGGTTTGGCTCGAAACCGGTTCACATCCCTGGTTTTTTGACTGACTTCAAAATAATAGAAGGTTGCCAACTCGACGGAATATTTTTCATTTTTTATATGTTACCGAATAACTTTTATAGTATATGAGCACTGAAGTCGGCCGTGTTTTTTGCATACTTATTACTTGTAATATGTATTATTAACTTATTTCTGTGACATCAACAATTGATATGTACATAGTTCATACCAGGGACGTGTGGTTAATCAGTTTTCTGATTTATAAAATTATTTCGATTCCGATTAGTCAAAATGTATTTAATCGAGAAATTAGTTACTTTGTTTTATTTTGATTAATTAATTAATCAGGCTTCGATTAATCAGCATATTAGCTTGTTCGATTAATCGAACATCCTAAGTACATACTAACAAACATACAGTCATGTGAAAAATAATAGGGACACGGTATTCTCACTAGTTTTGGCTATTCTTCTTTTGATTGTTTAATGTTTATTATTTTATAAAAATACAGTTCAATACCTAACAAACCCCGCATAAATCCAAACTTCAAAACAAAGAAAAATTAGATAAACAATATTTTACAACAACAACAAACTTTAAATCTAGGTGTGCAGTTGTATAGCCCATTTAATTCAAGCTTAAGAAAGTGCAAGTTCCAACTGGGTAAGAAATCGCGTTGATTTTTGATGATTTTTTTCTGCAAAAAAATTTGCACCTATGTGGTTTTTGTTAGATAGTGAGCTGTATTTTTATAAAAAAGATAATAAACATTAAAA